AATATGCATTCGTCTCAATGTCAGCCAAGTATACTTTCTGTCTGTCCTTTATGCCCATGAGCTCAATAGTTACCCACACTGGTCCCCACAACCTTGCAGAATGTTCTGTCACACCACAAAGCTTCTGTATGGCTTATGGTATTCCTTCGTGATCTAACACTTTGATGCTCACAAGGGTTCGCTGAGACGCAGAATCTATGACAAAGTTGCACCTTTGGCCATCCAGCTTTCCTGTCACCTAGACGCTATGTGTGCTTGGCATTTTACACCTAGCTGTTGGGACTTTCACGATGGGGGTTGGTAAGTGTCCCTCAACACCAACTACTACTGGTCTACTCGAGGCTGACTTGTTGGTAATATTCTTCTTACACTGGCTCCTCATATGTCCTTGCTTTCCACAGTTCCAACAACCTTTCTGGGTAGCAGTCTTTCCTGTCATGGCATCTTCCCTGTGTTGAAGTGTCCAGCATTGAGCTCTCTTGTGCCCAAGTTTGTTATAGTGCCAGCAAAGTCCCTCAAACCTCTCTGAAAGTTGACCTTTTTCTGGCTTTGAATCCTGATGACTGTACCAGCCTTGGTACCTCTGTGCTGGAACAGGACTTGGAAAGTATGGCACACAAGGCCTACCCAACTGCACCACCCGATCTCCTCAAGTTGTTGCTGAGAGATCAGTTTGTAGATGCCTTGGACAGTCCACAACTAAAGGTACAAGTGAAGCAAGCACACCCCTCTACTATGCAGGATGCAATGGCCAGAGCTCTTGAATTTAAATCCTACTTTAAGCTGTCCATCCATTCATTTCTGCCAGTAGCTCAAATTGTGCTCTATATGCTTCCCACGGTGCCTTTCCATCGAATTCCTGTGGCTTCCTTCGTACTAGATCACCCATATTGCTGACATTTATATCTGGGATGTGACTTCTAACAGGACTGAAGATGTCTGCATTAGGGTTTAGCTGCTGAGTCTGGAAGAGGCTTACCATTGTCTGGGGCTGATTAAGTCGATGGTTAATATATCCTCCTTGTGTAAAAGATAATAAATCATCCTTTAATGTATTTGAAATTTACTAATGTTTTCCATTTGTGTACTCTGGCTTTCTCTCAATTGTTGGAGACTTTCTTCTCCTCCGTCCACTGCTGTAGTTTCTCTTCTTGTTCATTCTCTTTCTCCTCCAACCACTGCTGTAGTCTCTCTTGTTTATTTTGCTGTTCGAGCTGCCACTGTTGCAAGTTATCTTGCCACTGCTGTAATCTCTATTCTTGTTTCTTTTATTTTCCTCCAACAACTGATGTAATCTCATTTCTTGCTTCTTTTCTTTTCCTCCAAAAGCTGCTGTAATCTCTCTTCTTGTTTATTTTCTCTTTCTACTTGTTTATTTTCTTTTTCCTCCAACAACTGCTGTAATCTCGCTTCTTGTTTCTTTTCTTTTTTCCTCCAACAACTGCTGTAATCCCTCTTCTTCTTTATTTTGCTGTTCGAGCTGCCACTGTTGCAGGTTTTCTTGCAACTGCTGTTGCCCCTCTTATTGTTTCTTTTGCTGTTCTTGTATTGCTGCCATCAAATCTGCTAAGCTGTAGTTTGATTTGCCACCTCTCGTTTCCATCTTCTCCTTCTTTTTTTTATTTTAATTTTCTATCCCACTTCTGACACCAATTTGTTACGTCTCTGGTCGTTTGATAATTTCCCTTAAAAATTCTTCCCGAGGAACTTCAGCGATACTAGCCCTTTCTTAAATAATACTAGTTTATTCTTCCTCACTACAACTTTGCAATACACAGAATCTTCACAGTCACTTTAACTTAAACACACGCTATAATTCACAACGATTTATACACTTTTACTTATGGCCTGACTCGATTATCTGTCTCTATCTCCCTGTCTGCTATTCAATTATCTATCTGTGCTGTCATTTCTCGCCGGTCTTATATATACGAAATAGAGGGCGTCTGGCAAACACTCGAGCCTTCACGAATGTTCTAGATACTCATTAGGTGTTACCAGAATCACGTGAATTTCGCTGTCGTAACAATATATTACTAAGTCTGAGACTAATTTAAAGCATCTATTTTATTTAGACAATATGAACCAAATAAATTATACCTACTTACCACGCCCTCTTATTACATCGCCTCTTCCACAAGTTCTCTGACGCTTGCTATTACATGATTTATAACCAATAGAAAGATAAAAGTTTTAATTTACCAAATGACGTATAATTCGACGTTGTTTTCAGCAGAGATTTTTAGTTATTTTAACTTATTTATACTATAAATTCAGACTGAATAACTAGCGAATAATTTTAAGGTACTTATTCCTTGGTTAGAAAGCCAGTAAAAGTGTAATAGTTAAATGATATTGTGTGCTTTGTGCGTTTTATTATTTTGTGTTCTAAGGTGCATATTTCAAATAAAAATTATTTTAGTTATTAGTAATACTGTTATCAGGAAATAGGGTTAAGTTTCATATGTGGGCGACAGTAAAAAAAAAGCCAACATAAATGCTAAATTCCTTGTTTTTATGTATATTTGTATTTATTGTTGTAACAGTAACTCAAATGTAAATATCAGGAATTTAAGTTAGATAACTTCAGAAAATGAAAATAAAACAATAAAAATAGGTGTAAACTGTTACGAGATGACTTCCACGATATTATAATAGGTGACCGTAGATTTCCATTTGGTGGGACTTCTGTTTCCCGTTCTGGGACCGAAGTTTCTGCTATCAGCTTACAAAATTACTTCAAAATGCAAAATATTAATATATTAAAATATAATACTTGAAACATATGTATGCAAAATATTATGTATATAATATAGATATAGCATGCTTTAGAGAAAATTGATCTTTGCTCCTCCCCCCCCCCCACGCCCTGTACACTTGAGGTAACAGCAATTAAAACTGAGAGTACAATGTAAGCACCACAATTTAAGTTATTAGAAGTTTTATAATGAACTGTAAGAGTTACTTTATATACCTAAAACTTTTAGTACCATACTATAATATTGGCTATTGTTACTGTAATAAGCTGCATCAACAGATCAACAACTAATGCTATCACCCAAAGTTATATCGAATACTGAAATCAGAGGTATTTCTTCAACAATGCTTATTAAAATATGAGAAATTATGCAGTAATATTAAATAATTTATATCAAATTTTGTTATTATACTGAATTATCTCGGATATTATAGCTAAGATGTAATGTTTTAGAGTACGCTGTGTTTTGTATTGCTATTCTAGGAAGCTGTATCTAACACAGGGTGGCCCAAAATTACCTTTCCTATTTTAAAATTTAATAATTAAGTAACTAAATAAATATAACTATGCAGTTATCCACATCTTGTAGCCCAGCTCAAACAGTTTTTATTGTAATGTTGTTAATTTTTTCACTCCAGTGAGTAGTGTACGCCATAAAATGGCAACCTTACAAGAAAAGGCTCAATGTGAGGAATTGGTCGGGGTGAGCCAATTTCGTGGCTTCTGCGTTCGCCAGGCATCATTCCACTAAACTTATTCCTTTGGGGGCATGTTAAGGGTATAGCAAACATCATGGAGCTAAAGACCAGGATAACAGAAGCTACTGTAACTGTGGACATGTTGCATTGAACGTGGACTGAAATCGAATATCGGTTAGATGTATTGAGATCCACTAATGGTGCACATGTAGAAGTCTACTGACATGTCAATAAAAACTGTTTGAGTTGGGCTACAAAATGTTGAAAACTACATGGTTGTATTTATTTAATTACTTAATTTTAAAATAGGAAAGATAATTTTGAACCAACCTGTCTAGTAGGCTCTTTCCAGTTCTAGATTAAACTTTACATGACTCATGAGCGCTTATTGCATTGGGACCCCCTTTAAAGCAGTTCTTCTCTCTTAGGATATCATTACATATAGAAGGAAATAGACCAAAATAAACAACGATAATTGAAAATATTTCCTTTATTTGTTTTTAGTGTAAGTTTTATTATTTTCACGTGGAGAAAAGACTATTAATCAGCGTCTCTTCACATTATCCCTATTGCATATTGTATAACTAACACATTCACATGTTCTAGTACTACTAGCCCTGATGTAACCACAATTATGAAACACTGGCTGAAATTAAACGTATTTTTATTATTATCTGGAGAGAAAAAATCGTTTTATTTTTCTAAAATTATTACCAAAAAATATACCAATGGCTGTTTATGGTAGAAATTTTACCATATTTATATTACTTGTTCTACTGTGAACATGTAGTGCTTTCACTGATATTTTTACTTCAATTATTACCAAAACAACTTACAACTGAGATTATTTATTCATGTTCAAATTCATACAGAAAGATGAATTCAAAGCTTTATTTCAGCCACTGAACTCTTGGGGCATTGATTTGGCACAAGCCAGATCAAATGTTGTTACAGTAATATGTGTCTGATATTGTTATTAGAGTAAGGTATATGTTGTTTTGCTCCTGTAGTAAATTATATTTAATAGTGTTATTACAGGAACTTGTGTCTAATATTGCTAGTACAGTATGTACCCTATATCTGATAATGATGTATGTCTTCTTTTCAGATCCTCTGTGATGATGCAATGATAAAGTTGGTGAAATTCTATAATAAGTATTACAATGGTTCTGAAGTGATGGGTAGCAACTCAGCAGAGAACTTTGTGAATGTTACAGTTTTTAAATACAGAAATGCTCTTCTATCTCCAGATCTCTACTATTCTACTTTAAGTAACTGCACTAATGCCACTCAGACAGCAACAGAGCAGTTCTGGGAGTAAGTATCATTTATCATTTGAGTTTTGGGCTTAAGTTAAAATTGACTTTATGGCTATCTTAATATGAGAAAAATTTCACAAGTTAATTGATGTTTACAGTTTTGGAATTCAGGTGTCATGAATTTTAACGTTTTATAATTGATATGCTAAATATATATAATTATTCAAATATGTTAAGGTAATTTTTTAAAACATTTGTGCACATATTCTCTGTTTACTTAAAAGTTTACATTGAGTCATACTAATCACAACCAGTGTTGTTAGTATAGTACTTGAATTGGCTTATGTTTTGATAAAGTGCACCTTGGAATATCACAGAGTAAGTTATTAAAATATAATTTTGAAGCTGGAACCTAGGATTCATTACTACAGAGTTTAGAAATGCTGTGCTTAAAAAATGGAAATGCACTTTTTAGAAACTAAAACTTATAATTGAGGTATTCCGAAGGTGACTCCTGTAGTGAGAATTAGATATGATGAGCTTAGTAAGTTAGGAGAAATGCTCTTCTGGATATGGGCTGTAGCCTACAACTTGGAAAAGCTTTGTGGAGCTTCACAGTTATAACAAAGTCAAGGATTTAAAATGTGGTTCAGGACCTCCCTAGTTATGGCAGTAAACCCAGTACGTCTCTATATGTGATCCATCTGTTTACTGAGCAGTGCACTTAAGTCCTCATGATGGTTGAAGTCACCACTACAAGGAAGAAAGGGTGTGTGTTTGGAGGATATCATCCAGCAGTTTGAGTTCTTTGCCATAAGATGAAGTCAAATGCATTTTGTGATGAAAAAATTATCATAAAGGTACAGCTTGAAATTTATCCGTGGGCTGCTTAGGCTGCCAAAGACCACCAGGAAGATCAATTTTCTGCAGAAGTGTGTGATATGTTTGTTTTTGCCAACATGGCACTCGGCAGAGCCCCATTGTACAGCAGGCACTGTCAGGTCTTTATGTATGTGGGAGCTGGATTCTTTACAGTAGATGACTGTGACCTTTTGGTAATAAATTTCAACAATAAACAAACACAACATAGTCCACTAGTTCTAAAATGATATATTAAAACAAGTCAAACGTATATGCAAATGTTCATTACACAGTTAATTACCACAGCTGTATCCAGAGCTTTAAATAATTCTCTTTTTGTCCAAGTCCACAGTTACTTTAGAACACAATTGATAAGACAAATTATTTTTTCTGTACTCTATTATTACAATACAATCTGTGATAATTTCACTTTAGAAATTTCCACTATATGGTTATACTCAAAATCACTCGGTCTAGATGTATCTATCTAACTGTCTTATTCAGACTACATTTTGTACGTTTATTTATAGCTTGACCAAGGCCTATTACATTGTAAACACTATGAGATGTTAACAAATATATAACTTACATCATATTTGGATTTCTTTTGTCTGTTGTGTGGCATACGTGAACATTAAGTATGTGGACAGTAAAGAATTTGGCTAGAAATGTGCACATTTACTAATTGTCTTAGACCCCACTGAGAAAACATGTTGTGTGTTCATTCAATCTAGTTAACAAGAATGTTCAGTTTATAAGACTAAAATATTTATGGAAAATGTTTCTTTACTACATCAAACCAAGGAATAAACTTGGTGGAATATGTGTGTTTCATTTGTGCTAGCGAAAAAATGCTCATTTGTGGATAATTGAAGTATTCATAGATTGTAGAACTATATCTGAGAAACCATAAATTACTGGGTTGTTTCAGACCCATGATGTAGCTTTTCTTTAATGGTTTGAAAATAATATATTCAATTTCTACTTAGAATTGAAATATTCATTGGCTCAATGAATTTTTATCAAGTAACTATCCCAATAAAGTTTAAATTCACTATTACGAAACAACACGTGGATAGGAGGTTATAGGCTTTCATGTGCTCCCATCAGTCCAGCATTTGTTTGTATGTATATAAATTAAGAGATGTTCTATAATAATGGATTTAAATTTTATTTTAGATTAAACTGTACTGCGCATTTACCTATTATTAGAATTGTCTTAATATTTATTTTAAACAAATAGAGCTAGATCGCATAGTTTTAAAGAGACACATATATATAGGTTTGAATTTCTGAGTTAAGCCATTTCTTATGATATTCACCCATCACCAAAATCACCTTTTTACTCTCATATCCAAATTCACATTGTTGGTAAAGAGAACCCAGAAGGGATTTTGAGTGCCTAGGGCTGTGACCTGAATACCTAAACTACTGCTAATAAGTCTACATCATATTACTTAGTTTCAGTTGAGCCATATTTATTTTATTGCAGAACCAAAGTAAAGTTTTGGCCTTGTGTTAATTGGTCCCCGAGGTCAGAAATGGTGGTCAGTGTATGAGGGAAGCTGAGTTGACCTAGAGTTCAAATAAACACGTGTGTCTGGTTAGGATACAGTCTACAACCCTATGTTATTAATTGAAATTCATACTCATCCAGGATCCATTTCACACAGCATTTCTAATTTTGACTTATGGCTGCTTTAGAACAAGTACTTTCAATTTGAAAATTTTCTGATTACTCATTACCAAGATGAAAAGATGCCTCTTTTCTGAGTCAGCATGAAACACGCTTATGTTAGACACCATGAAGATCCTTAGTCCCTTACATTAACTCCTAACTCAAGAGAACCTATAGCAGGGCTATCAATGATGATATTGCTACCTGTGCTCCAAGGAAACAGTAAATTATGTCAACCATTGATGAACATGGGGATCTAGAACTGGATAAACTAGAATAGGTCTTTGAAAAAGGAAAGACACGATATCTAGGAAGAGGACTGCCCTCGTTGCAATATATTTGAGGATGATTTAATCTGTGAAAACAGGAAAACAGTTTTGCAGAAAAAAATAATACTTTTATATAACATTTTTTTCGTCTTGACTTTGTTATATATCTGACATATAGGCCACTGGCTTCTCAGCTTTCAACATTCATGACTTCACATGATAAATTACATTCACATGACTTTGAAGTCAGGCCTTTCTTTTTTATGTATGTATAAAAACTCGCGTTTCGTTGGAAAAGCATACAAAAACTGTAAAGGTAAATTTTGAAGTAGAAGCAATGAACAGAATTAAATACATACATATGTTAGTTTAAAGTATATATATTGTTACGAAAGCGGAGGTCACGTGACGCTACTAACACGTCATATTCTCGAAGGTTCGTGAAGTCTCGAGAGGCAACTAGATATGTGGTAGTCTTGTATATATAAGCCGCCAAGAATTGACGGCAACAATGTGTAATTGACAGTTGCATCGAGCACTTGAGAAGTTCCTTGTGAATTATAGCGTTTGTTATAGCGCGACTGTGGTAATTAAGTGTATTCAGAAAGAATAAACCAGTTTTACTTAAGAAGGGACTTGTGTCGCTAAAGTTTCATCAGAAAGAAATTATACGGAAAATTAACTAACGAACGGAGGCGTAACAAATTGGTGTCAGAGAGTGGGACAAAAAAAAATGAAAACGAGAAGCGGCAAATCAAACTACAGCTTAGCAGACTTGATGGCAGCAATACAAGAGCAGCACAAGAAAGAAGAAGAAGGAGAAAATAGACAAGAAAAGAAACAAGAAGAGAGACAACAGCAGTTGCAAGAAAACTTGCAACAGTGGCAGCTCGAACAGCAAAAGAAACAAGAAGAGAGATTACAGCAGTTGTTGGAGGAAAAAGAAAAGAAACAAGAAAAGAGACAACAGCAGTTGCAAGAAAACCTGCCACTGTGGCAGCTCGAACAGCAAAATAAACAAGAAGAGAGATTACAACAGCTATTGGAGGAGAAAGAACATAAACAAGAAGAGAGACTACAGCACTGACAACTGGAACAAGAAAGGAAACAAGAAGTACAAACGGAAAATATTAGTAAATTTAAAAGCAAATTGAATACATTAAAGGATGATTTATTGTCTTTTACACAAGGAGGATACATTTACCATCGATTTAATCAGCCCCAAAGAATGACATGCCCCTTCCAGACCCCGCAGCTAAACCCTAATGCAGACATCTTCAGTCCTGTTAGAAGTCACATCCCAGATATGAATGTAAGTAATAGGAGTTATCCAGTATGAAGGAAGCCACAGGAATTCGATGGGAAGGCACTGTGGGAAGCATATAGAACAGAAATGAATGGATGGATAGAGGAGCAGAAAGCAGTATATCTGGCAACGAGCTTGAAAGGACAGCCACTGGAAATACTTCGACAGTTGTTGGCAGATGACAGGCACAACTATAGAGCACTGGTAGCAGCTCTAGAACTCAGGTACGGAACCCAAAATCAGTCTGAAGTCTACAGGGCTAGGTTTAGGACGAGAATCCGTGCTAAAGGGGAGAACCTGCAAGAGCTGGCACAGGACTTGGAAAGTATGGCACACAAGGTCTGCCCAACTGCACCACCCGATCTCCTCAAGTTGTTGCTGAGAGATCAGTTTGTA